ATCTTTTAAGTAATGATGAAGGGCTGGAGTTCTTCCTCTCCTCTGCTCTCATTCCTTTCTCCACTGAAATGTCAGTTAAGGGACTTTTTAAAAAAGCATAATGACAAAAGGAATTGGAGATTGTTGGTTCACAATCTGGCCCTGTATGCAGAGAGCAAGGAGAGCTCGAAGTAAGTGGCAGATCACTCTAGATTGGTAGGCAGCAGTTTTAATAATCAACTAACTTACAAGGCTTGTCTTGGGTGGCTGCAGAACAAGCAGATTACACCTGCCTGCCATATCTTAAAACTGTGTAAAGAAGCCATAAATGGGTTCAGTCACATGAACCATCCAGATGGTCTAAACGACACACTGTTCTCTGAAGGCTGTGTCCTTGAAAGTGGCTCCCACTGTAGGGGTGGTGGGGAGAGCATACATTCCAAGCATAGGGAAGGGCAAGGAGCCCCCAATATCCTGAGTCCAACTCTCACATGAACTGTGATCACATCTTCTCAATGACCTCTCCCAAGAGAGATGGTGCAAGGGTAGATAAGAGATGACACCTACAGTTTGGAAGGCGAAAGCACATGGACAAGTGGTAATTAATGTAGCAGACCAGAGAAAGTTAAAAGTCCAATGCCCACAGGGTGTGGGTGGGCCAATCAACACAGATCCCCCAGAAAGTGTCAGGAACTGGAATACTGATGATGATTGCAGTTAGGGCTACAGGTGAGACTGAGCACAGTAGAACTGGTTGAAATTTGGAATGAGAAGGAAGCAAATGGCCCGCATATTCCTTTATCAACCCATTCAGGCAATTCTTCCTCCTCTTCCCCAGGAGAAGACTAAAAGTTTATCCTCTGACTGAGCAAGGGAACTCTGGACCTGGGACATCAGGTGGACACGTCCTAGTGAAAACAGAAAATCTAAGTGAAAGCCAACATGCCAAATGGTGCATCCTCAGTCCTCTTTCTCCAAATGCTGCCAAGAATGTCAGTGGCCAGGCTTACATACCCCAAACAGGAAATTGGAATGTTGGGTCTCTGGAGAGACCAAGCATCCCACTAGAAAATGCCTAAAGATAGTGATACTGGAGGTCCCACACCAATGGCCAGGTCTCTGCTCATTCCTTTGAAAGCCCCACTAACAGGCACAATCCTTTTTTAGTGCCTCAGTCTTAAATATGAAGAGAAGGCCAAGGATCACCAGACATTTAAAAAGAGAAAGGGACTCAAAAAAAAACCCAGGAATAGTGCAGGAGTAGAAATTTTTTCAACCATAATTATCATGTTCAGAAATATTAGAGATTTAGCATCCTTGAAACAAGAGCAAGGTGGGGTTTTTTTTAAGTTTTTATTTAAATTCCAGTTAGTTAACATACAGTGTAATATTAGTTCCAGGTGCAAACTTCCATACAATACCTGGTGCTCATCACGACAAGCTCACTCCTTAATCCCCATCACCTACTTCACCCATCCCCCCACCCACCTCCTTTCTGGTAACCATCAGTTTGTTCTGTATAGTTAAGAGCCTGTTTCTTGGTTTCTCTCTCTTTTTTTCCCCTTGCTCATTTGCTTTATTTCTTAAATTCCACATCTAAGTGAAATCACGGTATTTGTCTCTCTCTGACTTCTTTCACTTAGCATAATACTCTCCAGCTCCATCCATGTTGTTGCAAGATTTCACTCTTTTTTTTTGGCTGAATAACATTCGTGTGTGTGTGTGTGTGTGTGTGTGTGTGTGTGTATGCATATGTGTGTGTGCATGCACGTGCTTGTATGTGCATATATACACACACACATACACACACCACATCTTTACCCATTTATCAGTTGATGAACATTTGAGCTGTTTCCATAGTTTGACAATTGTAGATAGTGCTGCTGTAAACATCAGCGTGCATGTATCCCTTGGAATTAGTATCTCTGTATTCTTTGGGTAAATACCTAGTAGTGCAATTACTGAATCCTAAGGTAGTTCTATTTTTAACTCTTTGTGGAACCTCCATACTGTTTTCCAGAGTGGCTGCACCAGTTTGCATTCCCACCAACAGTGCAGAAGGGTTCCCCTTTCTCCACACCCTTGCCAACACCTGTTGTTTCTTGTGTTGTTGATATTAGCCACTCTGACAGATGTGAGGTGATATTTCATCATAGTTTTGATTTGCATTTCCTTGACGATGAGTGATGATGGGCATCTTTTCATGTGTCTGTTGGCCATCTACATGTCTTTGGGAAAATGCCTATTCATGTCTTCTGCCCATCTTTTAATTGGATTATCCACCTTTTGGTGTTGTTTTATAAGTTCTTTATCGATTTCTTTATCAGATATGTCACTTGCGAATATCTTCTCCCATTCCATTGGTTGCCTGTTAGTTTTGTCGTTTCCTTTGCCATGCAGCCTTTTATTTTGATGCAGTACCAATAGTTTATTTTTGCTTTTGTGTCCCTTGCCTCGGGAGACATGCCTAGAAAGAAGTTGCTACAGCCAATATCAACGAAGTTACTGCCTATGTTCTCCTCTAGGATTTTTATGGTTTCAGGTCTCACATTTAGGTTTTTAATCCATTTTTAACTTATTTTTGTGTGTGGTGTAAGGAAGGGGTCCAGTTTCATTCTTCTGCGTGTTGCTATCCAATTTTCCCAACATTGTTTGTTGAAGAGACGGTCTTTTTCCCATTGGATATTCTTTCCTGCTTTGTCAAAGACTAATTGGCCACATAGCCGTGGGTTCATTTCTGGGCTTTTTATTCTGTTCCATTGATCTGTGTGTCTATTTTTATGCCAGCACCATACTGTTTTGATTACTACAGCTTTGTAATATATCTTAAAGTCTAAAATTATGATGCCTCGAGCTTTGCTTTGCTTTTTCAAGGTTGCTTGGGCTACTCGGGGTCTTCTGTGGTTCCATACAAATTTTAGGATTGTTTGTTCTAGTTCCGTGAAAAATTCTGTTGGTATTTTGATAGGGATTGCATTAAATGTATAGACTGCTTTGGGTAATATAGTCATTTCAACACTATTTATTCTTCCAATCCATGAGCGCGGGATGTCTTCCCATTTCTTGGTGTCACCTTCAATTTCTTTCATCAGTGTTTAGAGTTTGCAGAGTATAGATAGGTCTTTCACCTCTTTGGCTAGGATTATTCCTAACTATCTTATTGTTTTTGGTGGAGCCAACTGTTTTTTGAAAGTAACAAAGAACAAGACAGAAAAGTTTCAATAGCAGAAGTGGTTTTTTAAATGAGGTGTTTATTTATTTTTAAATGTTTTATTTATTTTTGAGAGAGAGAGTGCCTGTGCGTGCACAAGTGGGGGAGGGGCGGGGGGGTGGACAGAGGATCCGAAGCGGGCTCTGCACTGAGAGCAGTGAGCCCAACTTGGGGCTCGAACTCAACGAACCGTGAGATCATGACCTGAGTCGAAGTTGGGGGCTCACCCGACTGAGCCACCCAGGTGCCCTGGCAGAAATATTTTTAACTTAATAGAAAAAAAGCAGAGATGAAGTTGAGGAAACCTCAAACAGAGTAGAGAAAAAGAAGTGATATGTGGACTATTCGTTGGATGTTTAAGTCACTGTATTTGGAGATTTCTTTGTTATGGAAATTAGTCTATCCTTACACTCACAAAAATAGTTTCAAAATTCTGAGGGCGGTTAATTTCCCCATCCAGGATTCTAGGCCTAGGCCAATTACCAAGCAAATGTGAGTTGAATAAAGACATTTTCAAATATGCAAGATCTCAGAAAAGATGTACCTCTTAAGCACTCCTTCTCAGAAAGCCACTGGAGCAAATGTTCATGCCACACTCCTTGTGCAGTAGACGCACGATAAATAAATACACAAGTACTTCCTCACTAACCAGTACTCCGTATATCCACTGATAAATCACCATGCACCCATAAATTCCATAATGCATTTTTAAAATTTTTTTTGAGTTTCCATTTAAATGCTAGTTAACACATGGTGTGGTATTAGTTTCAGGAGTAGAATTTAGTGATTCGTCACTTACATACAACACCCAGTGCTCACCCCAAGTGCCCTCCTTAATGCCCATCCCCCATTTAGCCCATCCCCCCACCCCCACCCCTCCAGCAACCCTCCGTTTGTTCTCTATAGTCAAGAGTCTGTTTTATGATTTGACTCTCTATTTTTCCCCTGTGTGCATCTGTTTTGTTTTCTAAATTCCACAAATGAGTGAAATCATTTGGTATTTGTCTTTCTCTGACTGACTCATTTTGCTGAACATGATACACTCTAGATCCATCCATGTGTTGCAAATGGCAAGGTTCATTTTTTATGGCTGAGTAATATTCCTGTGTGTGTGTGTGTGTGTGTGTGTGTGTGCGCGCGCGCGCGCAAGCGTGTGTGCGTGTGTACATCTTCTCTATCCATTCGTCAGTCCATGGACATTTGGGCTCTTTCCATAATTTGGCTATTGTTGATAATGCTGCTATAGACATCAGAGCACATATAACCCCTCAACTCAGCACCTTTGTATCCCACAGGCAAATACCTCGTACTGCAATTGCTGGGCCGTAGGGTAGTTCTATCGTTAACTTTTTGAGGAACCTCCATACCGTTTTTCACAGTGGCTGCACCAGTTTGCACTGCCGTAGACAGTGCAGGAGGGTTCCCTTTCTCCACATCAATCAAGCCATTTATACAGGCAGGAGGCCCGCAAAGAGTTATTTGCGTGAGACCCTGCACGCCCTAAGGGCAGCCCCAGTTAAGGCAACGGAGACTGTTGCAACACTGATCACCTGCTTGTGACAGGTGTGACCTTCGGGACAGCCCTTCCCCTCTTTGAGCCTTAAGCGCTCGTTTATAAAACAGGGGTAATAATATCTACTTGTCAGAGTCTTGTAGGGTTAATTGTGTATATCCATCTTGCTTTTTCTTACTTTCATCAAACACACACACACACACACACACACACACACACACACACACACCTTGATTGTAGCCAACTGTTCTCTGGGGATGGTTTGGCCACCTCTCTTATGAATCTTAAGAGAGTCAATCTTTGTTTCCCTCAATTTACAGACATTTGTGGGAAAGGCAACATGCTTGAGAATTCAATCTTGGGAAATCACTTATTCTTGTGGCTAAAGTAGCAGATGGTCTATTATTCACAAAACACCTTGGAAGAGCCATCTTGGTTTCAGAAAAGCCAGGAGGCGGAGCAGAGGTTGAAGAGACGATACTTGGGACAAATAAGCTGTTTACACAATAAGGAAAATACGGCCTTTCCTCAAGTATGTCATTGCTGAGGGGAGGGTGGAGGTGGAGAGAGGAGGTGAGAGGGTCTGCGAATAAACAGAAAAAAGAGAAAGTAAGAACTTTCTACAGCAAGGCCCCTGTGGGTTGGGTCTGGGGGTCCCGAGGGTCAGGTCGGCCAGAATAAATCTCTGGTGGAAGGAGTGATTGCAAAAAATGTTGGGGCGCCTGGGTGGCGCAGTCGGTTGGGTGTCTGACTTCAGCCAGGTCACGATCTCGCGGTCCGTGAGTTCGAGCCCCGCGTCAGGCTCTGGGCTGATGGCTCAGAGCCTGGAGCCTGTTTCCGATTCTGTGTCTCCCTCTCTCTCTGTCCCTCCCCCGTTCATGCTCTGTCTCTCTCTGTCCCAAAAATAAATAAACGTTGAAAAAAAAATTAAAAAAAAAATGTTAAGAATACAGATGGCTAACGTTAAGTCTTACAACTGATCCTGGATTTATTTTACATTTTGGTATCTCGTTCGTCCTAGATTTTTCTTTGCATTCATTTTGATTTTTTTAAAATACTGCATCAAGATATTTTCCATCTTTTTAAAAAACATGCTTATTTACTTATTTTGAGACAGAGAGAGAGAGAGAGAGTGTGCACGCACAAGTGGGGGAGGGGCAGAGAGAATCCCAAGCAGGCTCCACTCTGTCACTGCACAGCCCAATGTGGGGCTCGAACCCACAAACCATGAGATCATGACCTGAGCCGAGATCAAGAGAGGGACGCTTGATCGACTGAGCTACCCAGGCGCCCAAAATATTTTCTGTCTCGATTACTGAGTTTTGGGGGACCCCCTGTATTGTCATGCCCAAGGTGAGTGCCTCACTTCCCTCCCCCTAGCCCCTGCCCTGGCTGTCACCCTTTCAAACCTTCAGTACGAGTCTGTCTCACGGACCACCCGACAGTCAGCACAGGGCGGAACAGAGACCATCAGGCAAGACGCAGAAGCCATTTGGAAGTCGGGGTGAGTAAGAAATGTCCTAACACCGGGCCGAAGAGGAAGGTCAACGGCTGGGATGGTGAAGGGTCGTAGGCAGGGCTCCCAGAGAAGGTGTGGAGTTTGTGTGGCCCCTGGGGTGTCCTCTCCAGGATGGGGTGGGAGGCGCCAGGGGCCGCAGGGGTGGCCTTCCCGTGCAGTCCTGCCAAGATAGGCCAGGGATCCGAGGCTGGCTCTCCAAGAAACAGCGGGCGGCAGTGGGGGCTGGGGAGAGGGCCCAGAGTGCACCTCCCAGCCTCCTTCCAGAAATGCTGAGAAGAGCCCGCTGTGGCATGAGTCATCCGGGCAGTCCCGAGACGCCAGCCTCACGGGGGTAGATACGGGAGGCCCCTCCTGACACCCTGTCTGCTTGACACGCAAGCTGACGACACGCCCGGTGTCCGCGCCTGCTCCGCCAGCGACGCTGGGGAGATAAGAACGACGGGGGGGCCATATCAGCCTCTGACACGGCCTCGGGATTCCCGTTCCAGCCATTAACGTTCCGGAGGATTCCAACCTTCTATTTTCGTGTGGGTGCCTAGCAGCCAAGCAGGGAGCACTGCTAAGGAAATCACACCCCTGAGCCACGCGTTCCTATCACCCCCTTACGAAACCTTTAAGACACTGGTTTCTTAATTGCTTTCTGCCCCTCCTGGTTGAAATCTTAGCGCTTTAATGTATCTGTGGACCTGTGTGTGGCCCTCTGGAGGGCCACAAACCGCTGGGGTATCTGAGACGCTGCCCTGCCCGCTGTCGGTGCGCGGGATCTACGGCCGGGTGTTCCATATGCTTCCTGGACTTCACCTGCCCCCTCGGGGTCTGCCCTCATCACCCATATCCCATTTTCCTGCACCTCAGCACCTCCCTCCCACTGCGTCCCCGGAGCCCCCATCTCCAGCTACGACACCCTCTGTCGTCTTCGCGGCCTTCTTCCTGGCGCACTGCGCTCTGACCTACACCCTGCCTCCACCTGTCTGAGGCACCGGCTCCCCACAAGATCACAAAGAGCCCCGGGTCCCCACGGGAAAGGGCTCCGGCCAGCACTTGCCCCGCAGACGGCAGAAATAAACTGTTGCTCTCCAGCTGAAGATTTTTGATGGCCAGGAATAGCCTCTCCAGGGACAAGCTTTCAACTGTGAATTCACGTACACGTTACGAACGCCCCCTTCCCGGCCCTTAAAAATTCCTGATTATCCCCGTCCGTGGACGATTCAGCCGGTGTGTCCCCTGGTGTATTCCACCGCCAGGCAAGTAGACGCTCGGCTTTGTTGTTTTCATCCTGTTTGTTTTATCTTATTCTTGTCTTGTGGTCTTTTATTCTTTGCACCTTTCTCTTGGACTCCGATCCACAGAAACAGAACCACCGAGGGCATAAAGACGTAAGCACAAACCCACCCTTCGTAGCGTCGGTCGTGTGCCCCCAAACCGGAAACAGCCGTACGCCCGTGACAGTGGAGCACCACACAGCTGTTCGAAGGAACGCGTCGGGTGAATCACCAGTGAGCCCCAGAAGTTTCCGCGAGCAACGTCTCTTAAGGGAGAAAAGCAAGCTGTGGGGAGAAGTACATAGTTTGGCAAAGAGTTTTTTCAACGACCAAAACCAACCGCTCCTTGAAGGGCATCGTGACTTAAGAGCGCTCTGAGCGCACAGAAATTCGCACAGACTCTTTGGGCTCAGCTTGGGCACGCCTGCCAGAGACGGGGGCGCGGGAAGCGGAGGCAAGAGAGGAGGCAAAATAACCTGCAGCTTTTTCTCTCTGAATGGACGCAGCTCCCCGGGAGCAAACCTTCTAGGACTCTTCTCTGAGCTTTGAGCGTCCCCTCTCCGGCACCCTTTGGAGGCCCCATCAAGGCTCTGCCACACCCCAATACTCCCGTGGTGTGCAGACCGGCGGATGAGGAGGAAGGAGGGAGATTTGCCTAAAGGGCCCAAGACATTACCTGGAAGGAAAGAGACTGGGATTTGAATTCTTGTTTACATTGTTCAATATTAATCAAGCCCTCTGTGAAAGACTGAGAAGGTTCTAATAGAGATCCATCAACAGGAAGGAACACTGGGGGTCCTGAGAGGGAACCCCCTGTGAGGAAAGTGGCTGTTCATACGACCGGGCTCAACACCAAGGCCTGATGGTTTAAGAGCCTAAAGCTGGGGGCGCCTGGACGGCTCAGTCGGTGAAGCGCCCGACTCTTGATTTCGGCTCAGGTCATGATCTCATGGTTCGTGGGATCGAGCCCCGTGTCGGGCTCTGTGCTGACAGCTCAGAGCCTTCTTAGGGTTCTCTCTCTCCCTCTACGTCTGCCCCTCCCCCTCAAAATAAATAAATAAACTTAAAACTTTTTTTTTAAATTACAGAAGTGCTTTGAAAAAAGAAAATAGTCTAAAGTTGGACACGGCCCTGGTACAGCCCCCTCACACCAGAGTCACACGTGGGGACCCCGCCCGAGCCTGTGTGAACTAAGAGCTTGGAAGCCCAAGGGTATGTCGTGGTCGAGGCAGGGATCCCCGTATCCCGAGAGACTGACCCTTAGACCGTGCGAGACGGTGTTTCCCTGGTCACCCCACTGAACAAGGACAGAATCGAGTGACAGCGCTCAGAGGGAAGTGCTGGGCCCCTGCAGGCAGGCCGAGCAAGCCTTCAAGTGACCAATCGGAAAAACAGATGACAACATTTCTACCCTGAAGTCAGGTCCCGTGTTTAGACGGTTTAAAGTGACATAGTTTATAATGCCATGTTTGTACGTCCAAGTTGTCCTCGAGGAACAGTGACAAATTCATACAGCCCCGTGCCCAAAGTGGGCCCCAAACACTCATAGCGCCGGGGCAAGGGGGTCATCCTCTAGACTGGCTGTGGTCGGAACCACATTGGCACAGGAGATAGGAGGGGATGAAATTATTCTTACGTTTATGTTTAGAAAAACACTGTATTCTTTTAAATTCACTTTTTAAAAGTTTATTTATTTTGGGGGGGTAGGGGTAGAGAGAGAGGGAGAGAGGGAATCCCAAGCAGGCTGCCCACTGTCAGTGCAGAGCCGGACTTGGGCCTCGAACTCACGAACCGTGAGATCATGACCTGAGCCGATGTCAGACGGACGCTTAACCTTAACCGACAGAGCCACCCGGGCACCCCTAGAAAAACACTTTAACGAGCCTTTCCAGCTCGAACACGTAAGGGCCATCCCCCTCCTCCACAGGCCCCCGGGGAGAGTGAGAGGGCTTTGATCAAGGAGTTCAAGTGCCCTGTGAAGGGAGGTGGTGGCAATGTGGGAGTCGGCTGCTGGGCCCGGAGAACAGGGCCTGGGGGTCTGGAAGAGGGGGGAGCTCGGCTTCGGTGGGCCCGTGTGGCAGGTGAGGGCCTCCCTACCGCAGAGGGCCAGGCAAACTCAATCCCGCAACAGGCCTAAGAACAAAATGATCATCGTAAGGACAAAAAAAAAAAAAAAAAAAAAAAAAAAAAAAAAAAAAAAAAAAAAAAAAAAAAAAAAAAATGAAGAGGCTTAGTTCTCCCTGTTGAAGACAAGAGGCTTCTCCACTGTTCCCTGGTCTGAGAGCATCTCTGTCAGAAAACCTTTCGTTTTAAGTTCCTTCTCCATCTCCGTAAAATGCATGGAAATCCTTTTAGAAGCTAAACAAGCCTCCGGTCAGCTTTAGATCCAGGAATGTCTTTCCCAAGGACCCAGGATCCACCCCTTTGAAATGCCAACATCAAAGGAGATGGAGCCCCTCTCTTCTGGCTTCCGTGGGAGGCTGGAAGCCCGACTGGGGGGGCGCTCCGTGCTCCAACTTGCGGAACCAGCTGCCGTCATCAAGATACAAGAAGCCTGCTTTCCTCACGAGGCCTGGCAGTAACACAGACCGCCATCAGTTACCAGGTGGACTTGGGATGAATGGGGCGTGACAAAGGGTGCCGCCAAGCCTTTTACTTGAGGATCGGTTACTCTTAACTTGAGATCATACTTGTGTGTGTGTGGCTGTATGAAAGGGACCATTTCCTTCTGTCCGTGAGTCTCTTAGCAGATTGCCTGTGAGACGTGTCACGTTCTGGTTTAAAGCGTAGTCAATAACAAAACTGTTTGGGGGCGCCTGGGGGGCTCAGTCGGTTGAGCGTCCGACTTCGGCTCAGGTCATGATCTCGCGGTCAGTGAGTTCGAGCCCTGCGTCGGGGTCTGTGCTGATGGCTCCGAGCCTGGGGCCTGCTTTGGATTCTCTGTCTCCTCCTCTCTGCCTCTCCCCCCACTGGTGCTCTATCTCTTTCAAAAATAAATAAATGTTCGGGGCGCCTGGGTGGCTCAGTCGGTTGAGCGTCCGACTTCGGCTCGGGTCATGATCTCGCGGTCGGTGAGTTCGAGCCCTGCATCGGGCTCTGTGCCGACAGCCTGGAGCCTGGAGCCTGCTTTGGATTCTGTCTCTCTCTCTCTCTCTCTGCCCCTCCCCTGCTCATGCTCTGTCTCTCTCAGAAATAAATAAACATTTAACAAAAAGACTTTTTTAAATAATAAAACTGTTTCTTTCTCTGCAATCTTTGTGGAGGGGTTCTCCTGGGTTGGGAATTTGGGTTTTTAACTATATTTCCCCAACATAACCCACATGCTTAAAAAAGGAAAAAGAAAGGAAGTGGGAGGAAGGGCCTAGAGGAGTAAGACCCCTCATGGGAAACTGGGGTCTTTGGAGGGACACGGAAAACAGGGCAGGGAAGGGCAGAGGAACGTCCAGGAGTGATGCGGACAACATTCAACTGGGAATTGTTTCCAGTCTATAAATAACAGAATGGTAGCAGATGAAACACATTGGCATCGTCTAAGTGTTTTAAACGTATAAACTCATGTAACACATGCCCTACTTGGGCCTATTCTTAAATATTTACTTCCCCCTCTGCCACGTGACCTTGCAATGCACCAGACAGGGCAGAAGGGGTGTCACAAAGGGGCAGAGAAGCAGGTTCAAGTGTGGACTGACTTGGGAAGTAGGTATGAGACAAATTCTTTTATAGGCAAAAGCGACCTTTGAAGGGGGTGTGTGTGGAAAAGCTCAGAGCCAGCCACTACACAGGCTGGGAACGCGAGCCATTTTATTTGGGTATTACAGAGCGGGGCGGTCCCCCAAACTGGAGGAACCGGGAGCCTGCGAATGGCAGACGCATGGTGCTGAGCACAGAGGACACAGGTGGAGAGGAGTCTCGAAAATACGAGGGAGGACGACGCCCAGTGCAGATCAGACACTTCCGTGCAGTTTGGAGGCTGTTCTGCGGGTCTAGAAGCCCTCTTAC